TAAGAGAAACTCAAAATTACGCGGTATTTGATTATCCATCACTATCCCCTGAGTACATTTTTTTACTATTTTATTTAAAAAAAATAACAGTAGTATTGGCAACTTAACTTTTTAGAAAACAAAAAAAACAAGTAGAGAATAATACTCAAAAGAATATGAGAGCTGTTATTAAAATTTTCATATTTAATTACTTAATTAAAATTACGTCCTACGCATTGAAATACTTAACAGGTACCTTTGCGAGAATTTTAAATTAAATTAGAGTCCGTTAATCAATTATGAAAAGTGTAATCTTATTAGACTACGTTATTCACTAAAGCTGGCAGTATTTTTAAGAAAGTTTATTTAAATTTAGAAATTCATGAATTGTATAGAACGAAAGTTTTATCATGAAAATAAATAATAAGCTCGCCCTTTCCAAGAATACCAAAACAATTTTATAATAGTCGAATAGTTAGTACAGATAACTATGATTTGTTAATTAACAAAGTTTAGGCAGTAAATAAAGTTTCCTTTATACAATACTTTAAACAAACTACCCTTCGCTCTTATTTAAACTTAAACTTTTCGCTATCTCGGCAAACGTTGAAATAACAGTGAATTTATTTTGAAATTATATAATTTATAAGATTTATATATTAGATCGCTTTTAAAACTTTTAAAATAAACACAAAATTTAATATTGCACTAAAAAGGTATGGAGACTCAATGGTATGACAAGTTTAATTTGGGTAATTTTAGAATTTCCAGTTCTGTAGTCTGTTCTGTTCTTTAATATCCTAAACTAAATAGTAGTTTTATAGGGCCTTAGATTAAGTGACAGAAAGCTAAAGCTTTCTTTTTAGACGTATAGAGTATTTTCCGTTATAAATTGTTACTCCTTCGTGAAGCCTATATAGTTCAATTCTATTAATATTAATGAAGCTTGCGATGTTCTATTAAAAACATAAAAGTACTGTGGAATAGTAATATATTCTGTAGGTCTCGCATAATAATTAATGAAAATTCAAACGAAACTCGCTATCTATTTCACTAGGGGATCAGACCGTCTATTCACATTAACAATGTAAAGTAGGGAGCCTGTAAATCATATTTAATGCTGACATTTCACACTTATAGAAAATTTATCGACACTAATATGTAATGAATATTCTAGCATCGAAATTTCCCTATAAGATAACCCCACTTTTTGGTTAAAAAATCGCTACTAAAAATATCTTGTGACGTCTGATTTTCAATTAAGTACTTAACTAGAAATTCTATAAGTGTTCAAATGACCAAATCCTTTCAAAATTGTCTTCGCCTTTTGCTACAAAAATATAAGACGAGTATAACCATAGCAGTATTTCAAGTCAAAATCATAACTTTTCTCATATAATCTTAGTCTTAATTTTTAAAACTAATTCAGGAAGGATACAGAAAAGCGATGTTAATAATCAGGACATTTTTTCATTCATGAAAAAAAACTATAGCCAGTGTTTGCACGGAGGCAGTAATTAAGCGCGTCCCACTGTTCTGTGTCGTTGCTCGCTATGATTATTGTTTCCGCCAGAGATCCAAAACGGGCGTGAAAAATGTAAATTAAAAAAGCATGGTTCATTATTTTTTGAGAACACAAAAGGCAGTATAACGTTGCTTTTATATTTTTGCTACATTGTAGGACAGTTCGTTTTTTGGTAGACGTGAAAATTAAGTTTGTGACCCACTGCGTATATCAAAGTATTTATTTGCACTGACACCATAATTGACATTCTTTTACATTTTAACTATCTGATATCTAGAGAGAAATTACCTGATGTCAGAAACGTAACAAGAAATTTACAATTTAAATCCTTTTAAATTGGTCTGCAATAAATTTAGATGTGGCATTCAATAGAATGAACAGCCAAACATTCTAGTGCTTTACTGATATGCAGCTGCAGCTTTTCACTATTCGAAGGCATGAAGTGCCAAACAATTCGGTTAATTCTGCCGGCCATCAAAGTCAGACATCGCATGAAGGAAACTCAATTAAAACTGTTTCATTGCTATTATTGGTTTTAAAACTCAGTCGGCTATTGTGTGCCGGCGTCGCGTCGCGCGGGTCAGTGCAGTAACAATTCGTTAAGCCGAATCAATAGCTTCGTGTGCGTTGACGATAACTGCAACCTTTTACAGAACTCTATTATGAACGTCGGACCTATTTTCTTTTCAATTGGAAGTTCTTTTATAAGCGATGGTAAACGGCGTTCATCTGGAATTTTAAAATACAAAACCCGGGCCAGTACGAACTTTTTGGCAAATTGTTGTAATCTCGTTAGGCCAATTATTTCATTAGCATGTGGCATTATTAGCATACTTAACTTACAAATTAATTTCAGTTTAAACTGGATTACTAAAAAGAAATTATGCGGTGTCATTTACTTAAAACTATTTGCATTCATTGAAATAAAAAATGATGTTTTTTCTGTAAACGATTATTTTCGATATACACACATTAACGGGATTCTTTAATAACTCTAAGGATAGCAGTAAATGTTTGTTTTATGTATCTTATGTAATAGAATTATATCACTTTGTGTAACTTTAGTTATATTCCTACAAGCGCTTTATCCAACAAAACAAACAGCTCAGACTAAACATCTTAATGATTAATAGTAATCCTTTGTCACTAAACCCCACTGAATTTGGATGTTTGAATAACATTATCTGACACTTGAAACTCGAACGAGTATACTTGTAAACCTATCGTAGTTGGAAATAGATTAAACATTATTATTTTATGTTTGTATTATTATTGCTGGTGACTTATTAAATGATACTAGGATTTTGGGTATTAAATTAGAATCGTAGAGTAAATCGACTGTACTGGACCCGTTAATTATTAATAAGCAAAGCCCTTTTCCGATAACTTAGGCTATGTTTTGTTAAACAGACTGGTTTACTTACAAAATCCTTTAGATCTGAATTAGACCTTCTTTGAATTGTTTGCCTCAAATATAACCTAAATAACTACTACGGCTTAGGATCTAAGACAAATAACCTAAATACTAGGTTTTTTTTTAAATAAAGACAGCCTTAATTTTTAACAATATGAATATTACTACACTACAGTAAAATACGAGTGTTACCAAAATATTGTTTCTTTAAATAATTCAATAAAATGGTAATGATTTTTGCAAGCTAACGAAATATTTGTGTCGAAATAATTCAATTATATTTTGAACCGCTTATTTAATATTCAGAGCTCTTTCAATATTTATTCACAGAGATGGAGCGAGTAACTATGCATAGTAATATATTAAAATATAAAATTATGTTTATTTAAAGTAAAACTGCTTTTATCTTATTTTTTATCGATTTAATTAATTTCTAATTTGTTTTATTTATATATAAATAATTCAACGTATTGGTAAATTGAAGTCTTTTACTTGAAAAAGCTCATTATTTCGCATGTTATCATTTAAGCAGTGATATAGGCCACATGGTAATGCTTGTGACAAAAATCATCCGTCAAAATTTTGATTATTCAGGAAAGGCGTTTAAAACATTTGGCAAGCTGAAAATCAGAACTTTGTGCTACCAATTTCGTTTCTATGCCTAATTTACCTTGCCTTACAAATAGCCAATGATGCCACAGAAAATAAAATTAAAGGCCTTTATTTCAAACCAACTATCAGATCCAGTTGTTTCTTTCTTATTTCTAACTCTACACAACATACTTGTACAACAACATGTAATGCATCTTAGATCTGTACAAGGTTTACCTTGTGACTACTATAAACTGACATCAAGGGAATCTCCTTCATATCTACACTAATGTGAGGTCAAGGTGTAAATAAAATACAGTTCAGTTGTCATCATCATCTCCCATGCTTTACCCTACTCCCGTAGGGTCGGCGCACCGGGTTTTCGTCCTCCAAAGCACTCTATCATCCGTCATCTCAGTCATCACTCCCTTCTTGATCATGTCACCTTTCACACAATCCATCCCTGTCTAGGTCTACCTCTACCGGTGTACCCCTCCACATTCATAACTAATGTCCATCTTGTTACATGCAATTCATCTTCTCATAACATGCCCATACCACTCTAACCTTTTACTCCTCATTTTCTCAACCACTGGGACTACTCTCAAACTTCCTCTAATATACTCATTTCATGTCTTATGCATTCATGTTAAATACAAAATACAGTTCAGTTGTGTTAAATATAATTTATTTTTTACTACATTTATAAACAAAAATCTGATTAATTACTCTATGCTTAAAGTTATAATTTTTTTGTACAATTCATACTATCTTCTCCGATGAACCTTCAGACAATAGTTCTTGCTCTGCTGCTGCTTTAGAAGCTTGTATCCGCGGCCTCACATACCTAAAGTATTTGTACACATGATCTCCAAGGATTACAGATCCATACAATGTGAGCCCAACACAAACTAGAACTGCACCTCGATGCAATTTGTCGTATAATAAATTTTTAGCGTATTTCTTCATTTTTCTGAAAATATGACATTTTTAAAACTAATAGAAACACCCATAATATGTAATTAAATAATACAAAACTACAGTGGATCCATCATTTTACTGTAAACGTAAAAGTTCAAGATTTTCGTTGTAGATCCAACTTATATTGCGAGAACATTTTCAAAACTTTTTAGAATTTACATACACTTCAGTAACTTAAATTTAATAATGTACTTACTCTTTTATTATATAAAATGATTTTAAATAGCTAAATATGGAAAACCACTGATATTCTGTTATGGTGACACTGACATTGACAATGATATGTGACAAAAAACGGAAACGTTCAGAAACTACAAGACGTGTTTTAATTTAGAATAAAATATTGGAACTATAATATTAGCGTTATTAAATTCGTTTATTTACTGAACAGTATTTAAATTGTTCTTTACAAAACTTTTGATGATCAAAATGTTATGCCAATATTTTAAAATTTACGATAAATTGCAATAAATGTCATAATTTGTATTTGTAAATTTGTAAACCTTTGTCTTTGGTTATAACCTCATCATATGTTTGTGTAACAAGTTTTAAAAAAATAATATTTCCAATTTAATAAAGTATGAACTGTTTCAAGTTCATTAGTAGGAATGCATATATTATTAGGCTTTTATCTAATAGGACATTTTGTTCGAAAGTGCCTGTAGTGCCAGTTACAACATTGGAAAGACAAAATAACAGTCAATTTAAAGTTGATACAAACACCATAGCACTTCTGGAAAGACTTTCATTAGTTAAATGTGATACAGTAGAAGGTGTAGAAGTATTAGAAGACTCCATAGCATTTGCCGATAAAATTCTTCATATAAACACTGACAACATTGAACCACTGTATTCAGTGCTCGAAAATGAGTAAGTATTCTAAACTATATTCGTTTGTAAGCTTAAAATAAAATGTATTACTTTTTGTGCAGATATTTTTACTATAAAATGTTTTGTTTTAGGAATTTAAGTCTTCGTTCAGATGTGATAACACAAGGAAATTGTCAAAAGGATATACTTAAGAATGCCAGTATAACAGAAGATGATTATTTTGTAGCACCTCCAGGAAATATACCTTTACACGAAGTTAATCAGTATCAATCTATAAAGAAAAATGAGAACTGATGTCCTAAAAGTTATTCATTTAAATAATTTCTTCAACATAACTAAATCAAATGATAAAATTATTAAATATTCTTATAAAGAAGCTAGTAAAATACTGTTACATAATATAAGAATAAGATGGTTACAGTTTATACATGCAAAAACTAGTCAACATTTTCCAGTGTATTTATCTGAACCTAAAACTAAAATGCTGAATAAAAATCAGCCCTATGGTTATATTCATCAAATTGTGCCACAACTCGACAAAGTAATTGAGTATAATGTTGAAGAAATGGGTACAAAAACCACATCTGAGTTATGTTTTAACATGATTATTCCAACACAAGATGTAATGCAATATTTTATGCAATGGCAGAGGTATAGAAAATATTGGTGGAGCTCTGTTAGTACATTTCTATTTGTCCATAGTAAAGATCCATTAACAAACATTTATAAATCAGCAGAGATTTTCATTTACGATTGTCTTAAAATTTTTTTATATCTTGATCCACATTTATATGCCAAGCAGAATGAGATTAAAAACATATTTGCAATTTTTTTAAATCAATGAATAAAATATTTATTTTACACTGATAAATTAAATTGTGTTCTTGGTTTGAAATTATATTTGTATGCATTTTCTTTAGGTAACTACAACACCGAGTCTGTTTTCTTTGAGTGATATAAAACATAAAGACAATTCAGCCAATGTTGAAGTGTTGGCAAATTTCAATTGTGGTTCTAAAATTGTTGAAGCCATATCCATTAATACAAATAATGTTAGTATTATAAAATTTGTTGCATTTTATGTTAAATAAATTTATTATAAATGTATACTTTTTCATTTATTTTTAGGGTCCAGAATCTTCTTTAAGCTGTAAAATGGCACTTGAAGATGCATTGCTCACACTTTTACTAGATGGATTAAACAACAGTACCAAAGAGGAATATTTAAGACTTCATAATAAAATGGCTCCTTACAAAATTGCATTGGCATTGCAATATGATGGTAAGCAATATTTTTTTTAATAATTGTTGCCTTTGACTGTCTTCTATATTAATATGAACTGGAAAAATTTGATTCTTAGCATTGAATAGTGTCCCAAACCACTGCACAAATTTAAAAAATCCACTATTGGGGATCCACACTATCCCCAAATAATATCGCCTGTATATTTTTTTTGTCTATGATAAATTAATTTAATTCCCCAGATAAAGTTGCGAACTACTTATGCAATAAAATAAAAATGGATGACAATGATTAATCTTAGTAATCTAGCAAATAACTAAAATAGGTCATATCCATAAACCTAATTAATTTAACATGTGTTTGAATAATGATGTGACTTCAATATGAATTGCAGATGTTAAACATTTTGACACTCTCAAAGAACTTGCTTCACTTATGATGTACAAATTGGAGTCAAGAAATATATCAACAATTTGTCCTAATGTTGAACTGCCATTGGAATTACAGGTAAATTAATTTTCTTACAAAAGGTAATCAAGCAAATTGCTCTTATAAATATAGTCGCTTACTTCAGGGAATGACTTCCAGATGCATTATTGGTTTCTAAAACTGCCACTCCAATTAGAAGAAAAGATTTCCTTTATTTGTAATTTTGTCTTTGATTTATTTTTAGTAAAAGGATTAGAAATGAAAAGAAACAGAGTAACACTTATTGATTATGATTTGATAAAATTTTTATTTATAAACTAGGCTTTAATATATGGCATAGGAAGAATAATTATTTTTTTTATTTTGCAGCTTCGAGAAAATTTCCGTATTGGTGTAACATACACAGCTATAATTAGTGAAAACACACTTTCGAATGGTATATTCCATTTGTTGAATAGCAGTACCATGCTTAAGGTAATAAATATTCAAATGTAATAAGATTTGTATCAAATGTGAACTGAACTATAGATTAAAATATTGCTTTTTTTCAGGAACAAATACATTTGGCAGATTTTGAAAATTATGCCACATTGCTGTGTGGTAAATGAACTCGTAAAGTTGCATTAACATAACATATGTATAATAAAAAAATCGTATTACTGTCTGATAAAATAAACTTGTTGAACAAGAAACATTTTTTTTAATTACTTTATCCTTATCTATACTGCTCCGTTGACTTTAAAGTTCAGTATGTTAACTTTTAATCATTATCAATAGGAATGTAGCTGGGATATGTCTGAATAATGCATAACATCGCTTCCAGATTTAATTTATTTAAGAATACTTATTGTTAGAAGTTACATTAAAATCTTAATTATGAAAAAAAAAATTGATCTATATACCAAATACTAACAATTTACAAAAAATTACGAATTTCATTGCTTCATTAGTCACTGAAATCATTTAGTCAGATTTTTTATTTAAATAACGCGAAACAACATTGTCCAAAATAAATATGTATATAGCTGGTTTGTACGACTTATTTGTTGCTAATTGTCTCAAATAATGACTAAAACAGGCAGCATTGAATTGATTTTATAAAATTGCTTACTTTTTAAGCATTTTCAGTTTCATATCTGTCCATATAAAACTGAAATGCCATAAGAATAATATGGCATGTCCACAAAAATCTCGTGATCATGCCAAATGTATTATTGGACACTATGCTAATTTTGGTTTGTTTACCTACAAAACAAAGAATATATTGCATGTTTAATACATGATTCTTTTATGAAATAACAATATATATCTATCAGATATTTATAGCTAATAGAATTCATGTAAATAACCAAATTAATGCATGCCGACTAAAACTCATATATTTTAGTATAATTTCTTAAGTATCATTAAAACAAATGGGTATTTAATGAATTGTCAAATTTAACCACAAACAACTGTTTTTAATAATGCATTCACAAATTACCCACACAATAATTGTACAGCTAAGATCTTAGGTTGTATTCTCAACTTAACCAACATAATAAATTAAATGTTGGTTCCGCTGGCTTGTGTCTAAGCTGGCAACTGTAGCTTCTTTCCTTTTAATACTGAAAAAAAAAATAAGCATATAGTTAGGTAAACTCTGGCCTAATGTGGAGCGGAGTATTCACATTTGTCATAAGGTATACAAAATGTTATAAGTGTTCTCAAATAACACACATTAGGCAACTAGTCCAATAAATTGCAAACTCTTCCTCTTATATCAAAAAAGCCTTATAACACTTCTATGTGAATTGTACTGGCTCAAAAATTCAGGTCACAAAGGCATCAACCGATGAGCATGAACTAAATTGGCATCTTAGAGTTTCAAGCGATTTAGCCAATACAGTTGGTTGGTGGCACTCAATAACTGAACTGGCGTGGCTTGAACACCAATCGGCACCAGTGAGTCTAATAAACTATGCCTAACGAGTGCAGCTGTACTGGCCAAGAGTGAACCAGGTATTAGTCTGTAAGCAACTGGAAAGTCACAGGGTCAAGAACAAATGCCATAGGTATAAGAATTGAGAAAATCAATTGTTATCATATAGTATAAGGTAATCTAAGATATCATTGATTAGTGAAGTCCATAATATAATACAAATAATATTATTGTAGATAGTAGTTAACCATTTCTAAATCTAAAATCTATTGTATTCACATGGAAAACATTATATCCCTTTTAATATAGTATGCCTAATATTATTGTTTTCACAGACATAACAGAGAATAGAAAATTACTTATTGATTAGATAAAAAATGTAAATGAATATATGAGCCTTAAATTTTAACAATTACATTTTTATTATGTTATGTTATCTGTCTACTTTTTATCAAAAGGCTGCAAATTAAAAAAAAAATATGTAATGATTTAATAAGTGGTCTTATATGTGTATATTACCTTTTGTAATGTACAAGTAGAAGAAATCACAGTAAAGAACTGTCTGTATGACACCAGCTACAATAGCAATCAATTCATAGTGGTCCTCAACAAAGTAGCGATATATCTGAAAATGTTAATTAGAAATTTAATTTTAATTTGTTTATTAATTTACTAATTGTATCAATAACATATTTGTTGTTTGGTAAAATAACTTACCCAGTTCAAGAGATAAAGGCCTCTGTATGAGCCGAGAGCAAATAGATAATGAGATGTAATACTTTCAGCTTCTCCAGTCTTTGATACCAAAAATAATTGCGGCAATATCGCAACCGACTCCAAGTAAATAGAAAATGTCCACAGAACCTGTAAATCAAATTTACGATCATGTAAACGAACCGTATCTTTACGTCGATTATATGTAAGTACATTATGCATACCAGTATCAAAGTAATATAGTTAGACATACCTCAAGTACTGTAAACTCGCGGTTGATCAGCAATGCAAGAATAGCAGAAGGTATAAGCAAGAATTCAATCCTGAATGTATCGTGATTATGGTCATAGGTAGCTTTAAATTTCACATACATCAAATAAACCGTAGCATAGGAAGCCACGACGAAAACTATTTTCATTATAGTGTTATAGGCAGACACAAATGTCGTTAACAAATCCAAATACCGCGACGTGTAAACTATAGCAAATAGGATTTGCGATTTTCCAGATATTCCTGAAATATACACACGGAAACATAATCACAATTAGTCGCCTCATAAAACAAACGTAGTAGCATGCCGGTTGGTAGATATATCACCTGCACAAGATCTTGTTTTCCATATTTTTATTAACAATATTATAATAGCTAGGAGGTGGGATAAATCGGCGAGTAAGCGGAAAATATTCATGATGACTATTTAAAGGAAAACTTATGTTAAATGCCGCGTATACTGAACGCCTATAACAATCTTCTCATTCAACCAAAAATGACGTGGCTGAATGACACCGAAATTAAATGTTTCCATTTTATAAAATTGCTCTGTTATCTATGACGGTTTCGTCTTCATCGATTTTTGTAAGTTAACATTTGACCATTTCGAAGTTTATATGCACATGCTATTCAAAAATACGTGAAGATTTTTTTTATTTCAAATACAACCTTATCTTAAAGATTTTAACAGAATAATAAATAAAATATCTTCCATTATAAAACGTAATTTTTTTTTATTCTTTTGCTTATGATTTAAAAATAAAGTATTAGAGGACTAAGTGTCTCTGAGAAATGTTCCGCGGCGCGTTTAAAGAGTAACTGACAATTCAAAATTCGGCGTCACCCCCGCGGTCGTGAGTTTAAAATCACTCGGTTATTTTTAGACCAATAACAAGCATCCATGGATTTTGTTGAGCTGATATAGACCTAACCTACCGTTCTGCCACCCTTTCAGTGTTACCATCTAATAAAAGTTTATTTGTCAGCTGATTCATGTTATGGCAGTTGACAGTTTAATTCTTATGAAATGTTTGCAAGAAAAAGAAACTTTGCTCCTTAACTTTAAAGAGAATTTGATGAATGTAATCCTTAAAGATTTTATGTTAATTACTTGCAATGAAAAAATAACTGGTTGTTGCGATGGTTAATATATTAAGACTTCTAAATGGTCTTAGAATAATTTGTAATAAGGGACCCAGATTTAGGTTATAATCATAATTTAAAAGTTATTAAATTTATCACTTAATATGTAATGGACAAATTTTAAAATTCATCCTTTTCAGTATACAGCGAATGAGCAGTAGTGACAGTGGTGACAACAAGTTAGATCGCAAAAAAATCAGAAACTTCAGTATTGTGGCTCATGTAGATCATGGGAAAAGTACATTAGCGGATAGGTTATTAGAAATAACAGGTGTTATTAAGCCTAGCAATGAAAATGCACAAGTTTTGGATCAGCTACAGGTCTGTATAAGGAATATTACTTCAATTTTCATGTTTTACCCTTAAAAGTTTATATTTATATTTTTCGTTTGATTCCAGGTTGAAAAGGAAAGAGGTATCACAGTCAAGGCTGTTACCGCATCCCTTAACTATACATACAACAATGAATCTTATCTTTTAAATCTTATTGATACTCCAGGACATGTAGATTTTTCTAATGAGGTAAATTAAATTAAACCATAATCTAAAAAAAAAGAGTTTGTCTATGATTCATATGGCTTTGCAACTCAATTATAATACTTAAAACATACTTCAATTTTTTTTTTAAGTTTATTAGTATTTCAATTATAGATTTTACTTATTTTTCAGGTTGTTAGAAGTGTAACAGCATGCCAAGGAGTAGTTCTGTTAGTTGACGCCAATGAAGGAATCCAAGCACAAACTGTAGCTGTACATTCATTGGCAAATAGGAACAATTTAACTATAATACCAACCTTGAACAAAGTGGATTTACCAAGAGCTGACCCTGACAAAGTCAAATCACAGTTGAATTCACTTTTTAATATCGACCCTAATACAGTTTTAAGTGTATCTGCAAAAAAAGGTTGGGGAGTTAAAGAGTTATTAGAAGCTGTTATTACCCGAATTCCTCCTCCAGATGTAGATGCAAATGGCCATTTCAAAGCTCATATTATAGACACATGGCATGATAAATATAGAGGTGTTTTATGTCTAGCATATATTCATGCTGGTAGTTTGGAATTGGGACAGCCAGTGAAATGGCAGTCAAGTACTAAACAGCATGCTGTGAAATATCTGGCAATGTTGCGACCTAGTGAAGAGCCAATTAATAAAGCTATTGCTGGACAAGTTGTAATGGTAGGTAAGTAATAAAAATCAAACAGATGTAACAGTACAGTCAGCTGAAAAATATGTACACATTTACGAAGAGACAGAATATTTATAAGCTTTCAGTTTTGAGAATGTATGCATGGCTATATGATTCCAACAATGAATAAATGGGAGATTGAAAGAAAAATTGACAGATAGGTCTATGAATATTTTTAAACCTATTTTATTGTGTATAGTTTTATGATAAAAGCATACTTATGGAGGTGACTGTACAGTGAATAAACATGGGAATGTTCTAAATTCCAAATAACTTTAATTTAAAAACTTTAATATATGTATAAAATTATGAATGTGAACATTGGGACAGAAAGATGTTTGTTAGTGTTTGTAGCTTAAACATCTCAATGGATCTTAAAGAAATTTGTAGAGGGCTGTCTGGTAAAGCACTTAGACTACTTACTTTTGCTTATATTAATTCAATGTGGATGGAGTGAAAGCTATAAAGCTATAGTTAATAATTTTCTTTCAGGACTCGGTCCTAAAGGCGGAGGTAGTGTTGGAGATCATCTCCTATCAGTTGAAGTACAGGATAATAAACAAAGCAGTCCATTACAAGCAATAAAACATATGGTGTATGCAGGAATATTTCCTGCTGACCAATCGCAACATGTATTTCTTAGTGATGCTATCAAGAAATTGGCTCTAAATGACTCTGCTGTCAGTGTTAATGTTGATTCTAGGTACACATTGTTTATTCTTTGGAGTGTAAATCTTGTTCAACATTTATTAGAGTTTGTAGCCTTAACTGCTGAAGTGTAGAGCGTAGTCTAGATTAACACACAGGCTACTTACTATTTTATTTTAAATTCCGTTGGTAAAGACTAGTAGGCAAAAGTTAGTAACATTATAATATCAAGTGTATACTTTGAAGATGACTTAAATTACTGAAATTTATAATTTAACTAGGTTTTGCATGCAAGTCCATCGGCGTGGAATTAAAAACAATTAAAGGGAGTGGCCTATGTGTTCTTCCAGACTATCCTCTACTACCTAATTTCATCTATCCGTTTACCCCTTTAGGCTAAAAACTCGGAAACATGCATCCAGCTAAAATTTCGCATTTATAATATTAGTATGATTGTGTTTTTTTAGTCCAGCATTAGGTCAAGGTTGGCGTGTAGGTTTCCTAGGACTACTGCATCTAGATGTGTTTACGCAGAGGCTCTTGCAGGAACACAAAGCGGAAGCAATACTCACCGCTCCTTCTGTACCTTATAAAATTAAGTATGACTATTTTTTTATTTATATATGTAAAATTTCAATAACTACAATAAGGTAACACAGTTTATTTATATTTATAGGCTAAAAGGTGCAAAAATCATCAAGCAGTACAAAAGTGATGAAATAATTATCACAAATCCATTACAATTGCCGGAACCGCAGCAGATTGAAGAATATTATGAACCTTTAGTAATAGGTATGTTTTTTTCTATAATAAGGATTTTTTTTCATTCGAATAAAAAGTCACAAAGTAACTTTTTACTACAAAAATCCTGGAATAAAGTCATCCTACCATCTTTGAAAATCCGGACACACACATTTACATTATATTATACCCTTACATTATACCCTTCAACATTTAATACGGCTTAATCAACATCGAAGTATGGTGTGGGGTATAATTACAATTGCTATCATTTTCGCAAAATGATGCATTTTTAATCCCTAGACAAGGTAACATTCGATTAGCGATATCGCTATATTTATGAATTACTTGTAGGTACAATAATAACTCCAGTGGAGTACATCGGCGCGGTGACGTCACTGTGCGTGGACCGGCGCGGCGTGCCGCTGCCCGCTACAGCGCTCGATGACCAAATGACGCTGATGCAGTTTATATTACCTTTATCAGAAGTTGTGATAGACTTCCATGATACGTTAAAGAGTATAACGTCAGGTTTCGCCAGCTTTGACTATCAGGATCATGGATTCCATGCCAGCGCTTTAGTAAGGGTAAGTATTTTAATATTGTAGTTTTTGCTTCCGTCAAAGTACTGAAAGTGTGAAAATTGTATCCGACGTGATTACTAAATATCGATTAACACGCTTGTCATAAATGTGTTTAAATGGATGTTAGAGTTAATAGTTTTAACTATTGAACGGATCTCAATGAAATTTGGCATGGATGTAGACAATAGTATGTTTTTTTTAATTTCGCGGGCGATGTCGCGAGCAATGGGTTGTAGTTCATATTACAATTAAAGTTAGAATAAAATGTTACATGCGAATGTTAAGATGGATGTGTGAGGTAACAAGATTGGATAATATACGAAATGAGTATATTAGAGCAAGTTTGAGAGTTGCCGTAAAAGGTAGCGTGGTATGGGCATGTTATGAGAAGGGATGAATCATGATGAATGTGGAGGGATACACCGGTAGAGGTAGACCAAAAAAAAGATGGATGGATTGCGTCAAAGGAGACATGACCAAGAAGAGAATGATGACTGAGATGACGGATGATAGAGTTATGTGGAGGACGAAAAGACGGTTCGATCCTACGGGAGTAGGATAAGGCAGGGAAGATGATGTGAATGTTGTAAGTGTGATAAATGTATTTGAAAAGAGCACGGCTTATTAATGTGTGAACATTTTGACAGTTGGATATACTTCTCAATGGGGCATTAGTAGAGGAATTATCCACTATAGTACATACATCCCGCCTTCAGTACAGCGCTAGAAGACTGACGGAAAAACTAAAGGAAATGATACCGCGACAGATGGTGCAGGTAACAAAGTTACATCGTAAAAACTATATAATAATACTTTTATTACTGTGGATAACTTATTTTACCTTTACAGATCGCAATCCAAGCAGTAGCGTCAGGGAAGGTTTATGCACGAGAAACTATCAAAGCATACCGAAAAGATGTCACTGCTAAACTGGTAAAAACAGTTTTCAGTATAAAATTAGAATTTTAAATCTACTAATATACATTAATGTACTTAATAGGAAGTGAAATTCAAGTGTAAAATCTCTAATACGTTGTTGTACAATTATTGAACGGCATAGTCTAAGAGCTCTTTATTTAAAACTTTATAAAAGAAAGCCTTTAAAGTTTTGTAAGTCTATTCATATTTATACAGTTGACTGTATTTTTATCTTTTTATTGCAACAGTACGGCGGCGACGTGACTCGTAGGAAGAAGCTCCTCAAACAACAGGCTGAGGGGAAAAAGAAAATGCGAAGCTTAGCTAATATTAAAGTGCCTCGAAATACTTTTATTGATGTATTAAAGAGATAAAATGTTTTTGTAGTATTTTTACATGAAGATAAAAGTATCGTATTATCGTTAATTGAGTTTTTCCCCTTTTTGAAGATCCTAAGGCATGCTTAAATGATTTTAGTAAGGTAAGAATAATAAAGAATAATACAATTTCTGTATGAAATAAAAACAATAAAGTTTATTTAATCATAGATTATATGACAGTTGAATGCATGGTTATAATATAAAATATTTGAAGCAATATAGAAATCTATTACTTAAAGACAGCTTACATTAAACAATAAGATATGTATCGTGAAGTATAAATGGAAAAAGCTTGTTGCAAGATTATGGTCACCATATTTTTTCATCTCAACTATACAAAGTTTCGTATATATAACAAAATTGGAAATTTTTATTACAGGAATATTAAAGTTTATTTCGTTTTACACATATCTTTACAAAAAAACAATTATAGATTACTTTTTACTCCTAATGCTGAACCACAGACAATATTGTCATGCATCTTAGTCCAAGTAAATAATATTTTTTCGTAAGGATGTTTCGCCAGTGGAAACTCAAGGGCGTAGCTTTGTTTTAATAAACATCTGATTGATTCATGGAACACTAATCAGGAATTGCAAACCTTTTTTTTAAACATAAAAGTAATATTTTACAAAGAATGTGCATGTATTTGTCAGTTTTAAAAGCATTGTTGAAATTGCTAGTAGAATTTTCTTTTCGATGCTAATATTGATAATTTAGAATTTTACAGACAATTTACTATATTTTTTTAAATAAATAAATACTAATTTCTCAGAAGGCAAGCATATTAAATACATATAACATACTTTTGTAAAATTGTATTTTTGAATAAATCGAATTTCTTAATCTACATCTTTAGATGAGATATCATTTCTTACAATATTTTTATTACATTCTCTTTCAGAATAACAATCATTATATATTTTTTTCTACAAAATCATAATGATATTTTTAAATGTAAGGAGCAGTGAATGTCTTCTACAAAACGTCTACATTTTTTTAATATTGACCAATAACATTACAGCTGAAAACCTACGATTTTATATAAGTCACTACAATATAAACTCATTAGTTACTTTGATTCCTTAAGAAATGTGTACATGAACTTTTAAATGATTACTCTGAATCTACATATCTATTAGCACAATAAGAAATCTTTTAACATTATAAAATATCTCTGATCATATAAACCAATCAACAATTACATACAAAGTGAATTAAATTTACATCAGTATTCATATAAAATGTAACAAAATGTGATCTCATTATAAAATAATATTTTTTAGCACTAATATATGATTTTAGTGTACAAGTATGCAGATACTGCTTAACATTTTCTAGTAAAGCTTTCCTCAATTTTTCTTGGGTAATACTTTAAAAAAATTAAATTTTTAGAGCCAATTTACATTAAAGCTGATTTTCACTATACTTGTTTTCAAACACAATTTCATATATTCAATTTCTATAATTCAAGCAATTTGCTTTTTTATGTCATTTTTTATTCACATTGATTAATCTTTGGTACATAAAAAGAATACAAATGAATAATAATTCTGAACTTTAAACTTGTATATGATATAAACATTAATACGAAATGAGTATAGAAATAAACAAAAAAAAATGGTAAAAAGAAATATAGTCACCTAAAACTATATTTGTGATTGAAGCTCTGATATTTAGGTTCTCATGTTTCTAGACCCTAGTGTAAGGACCGCATGTTAAATTATGATACAAATAAAAAAAAGTTTATTTGAATGTTTGTGAACTAAAAAGCAAAGTGATGTGAAACTTCACCATTCATTGTATCAAAATAGAAATTAGTTACAAAATTCTCCAGTGATATATAACCACAGTTTTCATTACCTGCTATATAAAGCATTATCACATTTATCTGTCCTCGGAAGTTTCCAGAAACTGGGCGTAAACATCTCTGTTACATTCACCCTTTTCATTAAATTTGTATTTGTAATATGATCCATCAGCACAAATCACTAAAACAAAAAAAATCATTAATTATAAATAATACAAGCTTTACCTGCGACTTCCTCCATCCAGAATTAAAATAACTTGGTAGTTTATCTGTTCTTCCAGACTATGTCCTACAACTGTGCCACATTTAATAAATATCCATTTAGCCATTTTAGAAATACCATCAAACAAACATCCATCCATCTTTCGCATTTATATTGTAAGAAGTAAAATATTACTTACCAATAATGGAACTCTTGTCAACTCCAAAAGCACAAATACAAGGTGGACCATTTGGTATTGTAAATTTGCAGAAGCTCCAATTGCTGGAGAAGTATTTTGGCAAGAAATTAACAGTCGCCAAAGTTGATTGTTTATTTAATTTGTCCTCTTCCAAACTGAATATATGCACAGTGCCATGGTCAGATGTTACACATAGATTTGTACTTGAATTATTGAAATTGATACAATATATGGTTGCCTGTAAAACATTAGTATTAAATAAGTTTGATAATAATACTCCAAATAAAAGTACCATGTAAACGCAAACTTAGAAGTTGATTTACATAACAAAAAGCAACACAAACTTATAGGTGGAAAACAAAAATTTATTACAAACAGTTATTTCCATATTTATATTTCATGCAGTATACTTTACCTGATGTGCACCTCGCCTTAGCTCTGCTAACTTCTGGCCACTGCTTGTATCAAATACTCTAATGAGAGTGCCCTTAGAGGATGCCGTGGCCAATCTGGTTCCACCCACATTCAACGCTAAGCAACTAAGTGGAGCTTCATGGGCACTTATAAGGTGACCCTCTGGAGTATCACTTGATCCTGCTTGGTTACTTAACTCTACAAGCTGTTAATAAAACATATCAAAAATTTAAGGCATTTGAGTTAATACAATTGTTCTGAACAAATGTAACTTTGTGTTGGACATGTGTAGGTTTCTACAAGTAAATATTTAAAGCGGTTTAAACTAACATAATAAAAAAAATAAGATTTCCAAGCATGGTAACCTAAAATAAACTTATTGGTCTAATTATTAAGTTTTTTAGTGTTTACCTGAACATGTCCAGTTTTTCTACTGGGGTAAGCAAGTAAAGCATTGTTGCTGTTTGGACATACAACACACAGTCCACGGGAATTTTGACATGTTTCAAATACATGAAGTAGCAGTGGTTGTGCAGTAAAAGTATACACCTTTATCAAATTCTCTGTAATAATAAAATCAAACGTAACACAAGAAAAGATGTTTTAGTAGTTGAAGTATTTTGTCTCAAGTAATTTTTTTACCTAAAACCACAACTATCCTATCTCTTCTCAATTTTACTGCCTTAACGGGACTGTTGAAATCCAGCGATATTGCGGAATCTTTCTTTAAATCGTCCCATATTATAACTCTGTTCGGGGGATATAATGGAGTTTTACCTCCGCCGACAAGAGCCATGTAGTTACATCGATATAACATTTCTACGTAGGATAAACCACCTTCGGCAAAATTCTGGCGTTCTTTCTCCTTAAGTGGGTCACTGTTAAACACTCTAAAGCCATTCTCCGTTCCACAAGCGAAGCAACCTGAAGAAATTACAAAACGAACAATTGGCGAAATAACATTAACTTGCAACATGATATCGCTTGGCCTCTTTAACTTGTAACAAACGATACCTTGATCCTGATTAAATCCCACGTATAGTAACCCATTGGAAAACATGTTATCGTCCGATAAATTCATTTTAAAACGATATCTCAAAAATATTTAATCAAACAACAATGGACTTTTAGTAACCGTAATCATCCATGACCCTACTTTGCGGCTGTTTGACACAAAACTCTCAAAAATAATGTTGACAACTCAGTTGACATTTTGTATTGACAAACAAAACAATCAACGCCCACAGATAAAAAACCAAGAACGTGTTTGTGGTTGCTCTTACATTATTGACCACCTTAATTTTGTTATCTGTCAGTTTGTTATTGTCAGTTATTTGTTTTTTTTTGTTACTGTCATTGTCAACTGTTGTCAAAAGAAGAGTTGAAAAATAAATCGAAAATAAACATTTCCATTCAATTGAAGTACATACTGTACCTTAATATTTATAATGCTTAAACCTAAAGCTTTGACTCAAGTGCTTAGTCAAGCAAACACTGGAGGAGTAGAAAATACACTGTAAAACATCAATTATAATTGTAAGTTTCTAAAATATTTGCATTACTTTAATTATCCTGTATTTGTAGGTTGCTAAATCATCAAGGAGCTCTACTGGCTTATTCAGGTTACAATGATAAAGATGCCAGAGTTACAGCTGCTATTGCTAGCAATGTTTGGTCAGCATACGAGAAGCAAGGCAGGAACGTTTTTAAAGAAGATAAATTGCATCTCATTTTAGTCGACTGCCAAAATGGTAAAATTGCAATAACACAAGTAGCAAATTTATTGTTATGTTTATATGCAAAAGAGACTGTTGGATTTGGTATATTAAAAGAAAAAATAAATGCCATTGCACAATATTTGGAAGGACCTCTTAAGCAGGTAGCTAGTTCTTAACTTATAAAACATATGTAAATTAAAATGTTATTAATGTAAGGAAATTTTGTAAATGATTATTTGATTTTATTCCTTGTATTGCCATAAGTTTTATATATTCAATTAAACAAAACATGTTATCCATTAAGTTTATTATAACAATGTGTATTAAAATAAATGTTTTATGAAGAATGTTTTTTTTTTAAATCCCGAGTACATGTTTATATTATGGATGTAAATAAAACAAATGACATGTAACTGCTAGCAGTTATTTATTTTGATACAGTACAACAGGTACAAACTTCTTTCTTAAACTTTACTTCATTTTCTTTTGTTTTATTAAATAATTCCTAAATGCAATTTGTTTTTCTTTAAAAGACCTTTTAACTTTGCCTTTCGCTTTATGTTTAACCATTTGATAGGCTTTAGTCTTCCTCTTTTCTCTATTAGTTTTTGAGCAGTTGACATTTTTCCTTCGGTCCTTGTAACCATATTTATCTCTTTCTTCTCTTCCCTTGTGAACAGATTCTAATCTGGCGTTTTTGTCATGTTTTCTTTTTTTATGAATGTTTTCAATAGCTGATAACTGTACAAGTTCAGTTGACTCCTCAGGATCTTCTACTACACCTTTATTTCTTTTAACACCACTCACATATTTCTTTATTTGAGCAGCCTCAATGCGTTTGAAATCTTCATCAGTAAATATTGTATCCATTGCAATATTTCTAGCTGTTTCAATTTTTTCACTTATATCTTGCTTAGTATCTTTCCTCTTAGCTTTCAGTATTTTCCGACTTTCAGTACTGTCATTAATGTGACTTTCAGAATTCTGTTCATTGTTTATGGTATCATCATTGGCAGTACCATCTTCTTCATCTGATGAATTACTTTTAGTTTCATCTTCATCATCAGTACCATCTTCATCACTATCTGAAATATCAATTTCAGAGTCTGATGATGCAATATCAACCCATTCGTCATCTGAATCCTCTCCTTTCTTTTTAGGTTTCTTCTTATTGTCACCAGATTTAACTTCTTTCTTCTCTAATAAAACCTCTGAACCTGGTATGTAACTTTTAATGTCCATTTCACCATATTGTTTAGATTTTAGTTCTGCAAGTGCTTCTGTTGGCCTTCCTCTATCTTTCTTGTGGAGTAAATTCGGCATAGACTGCCTGTATAGTTGGATCAAAGACCTAGCAGCCATCATAACAGATTTTTCTTTGTATGTTTTATATTGTACTAAATCTCTGAGTAGATCTTCACCAACTGCAAGCGGGCACCGGGCACATATTTCACGAACAGCATTTAAACCTACAGCCATAACATCAGTAGAATTTCTTTCTGTTATAAAATTATTTGCAATAGCTTTCATCACTGGTTCTATTACTTCAGGGGGCACAAGCTCATGTGAAGCTTGTGCAGCAAACTGCAAGATCCTTGTTACTTCTCTTTGATGAGGCATTATAAGTCGAGCAATAAATGAATAATAGTTGAACAAAAACAAGTTATGCAAACCTATTAACCTGGATATTACATCTAGTAACATTAGTTTAACTTCAAATCTCTCATTAGATGATTCAAGTTGTTTGAATAATTTTTCAGCAAAACCTTGTGGGTTATTTATAAGATGTAATGCTGAAAAGTTGAATATAGGAGCTTTTTCTTTCTTCCTTTTCATTTTCTTGGCAATTTTCTTAACTTTGTCAACCATTTTCTCCCTCTTTCGTGTTTTTTTATTAAACTTGTTAGATATCATTGTATCTCGAGGATCAATTTCATCTTCACTGTCAGAATTTTCTTGTTTCTCTTCTTCATCTCTACTTAAGAAAAATTTTAAAGATGCGACCATAACTTTAGTGATTTTGGTGAAACAACCAATATCAGCAATTATATTCACTGTTTTATGGTCATTCCAGATGTTTTTATGATACAATTCAATTAAAATATCTACAGCTAATTTTGCAGTCTTAGCATTCGAGTCCCTAAGCATTGAGAATATAAAATTTTGTAGAGTTGAATTTAGTTTCATGTCCTTATGTTTCATATTCATGTTCTTTATGTCTGTGATGATGTGAGTTTTCAGGTATTCTCTGAGATTTTTGTCTTGGCATTTTATTAATGTAAAAAACAGCTCTAGCAAATCATATGCCGTAACAAAGTTTTTGTTTCTCAAGAGTATTAAGCACTTACACAAGGATAAACGCATATCACTGTGTAAAATAGTATTATGAGTTTTCAAAATATCCACAATCTTTTGCGGAAATGTTTTCATGTCATTCAAATAACACTGTGTAACTTGCGCTAAGAACATTGCCTGTTCATCGAGCTTCTTATTATATTGCGTGGGATTGAGATTGAAAATCTCCAACGTTGTTTCAAAATGAGCCAGTTGCTGACGGAATTCATCTTTGTATGATTCGGGATCTCTTTTGATTAAATTTTGTAATTGCGTCAAATTGTTTGGTAATTGATTGTTATGTCGCACCATTTTTATACGATAAATACGTATAATCGTCTTTTTAGATACTCCTTTATTAAGAAATATATTTTATTTAGTAACACGTGAAAAAAACATAACCTCAACTTAGTTTTCACGAGACTTTATTGACATGATTTGACAATGTCAAATTGACATTTCATGACCAGGACGTAAAGATATATGTCAAAATGTTTCTTTTTAATCTTTAATAGTTCCGAACATTGAAGCCTCTTTAACACAATTGTTACCATCCTAATTCCGATGAATTATTTGTTGAATTTAATTATCAGAAATATGATTTGAGGATCAAGGGCATGTTAACAAACAACAAAGGTAGATTTTTCAGTATAAAAAAATTGTATTCATACAAACGTTTCTTACTAATCAAAGTATCTTAATTCCTAAATCACTTCTTCAATACTTTGTTCCGGCGAATCTGTAGATTCAGTATCTTCTTGTGGTGGTTTTTGTTGTAACAGTTTTAGTCTTTGCTCCAACCCTAAAACATTTATTTTTAAGTATTAAGTAAATTAATGATTGATTTTCTTTTATTACTTAAATATAAAAAAATATGCTACTCTAACGAAACTTTAAGTTTAACAAAAAAATTACTTTCGGCATCATGATGATTGGGAGCGTGCTGGATTAACAATTTGAGTATTTTTTCTTCCGATAGCAACCCGGGTCGTCCACTTATCGCGTGGATAAGCTGCTGGCCACTGGCAACACCTGGAAGCGTTAACAATACATTGAATTTTAAACATCATAAATAACATTGTATTTAAACATAACTTACAAGATCAATTTACCTGCATTAATATCTCCCCCTTCTAGCAGCTTTTTCACCTCTATAAAGCGTTTCAAAAATGAACTTTGTTCCTGAAGGGCTAATGTTTGGGATCCTGTAAACCGTTTAAAAGTTACATTTTATTTCATAAAATGTACTGAAGTAAAAGTAGTGTAAAAAAAAGTTCATTAGTATTCTGTGAATTTCTAAAATAATACAATTTTCATTTCGAATTACCTATTTCGGGATCTGACGACTTAGCGATGCAACGAGAAGCTTCTTTTAGAGCCTCCAGTGCTTTTTCGTAGTTCTGAAAACGAAATGTAATTTGAAAAAATTACATTTTTTATTGTATTAATTTGGATTTATAAAAAGAGTTGCAAAGATCAAAGGAATTATTTTAAAAGTGGAACATCGTGATTTCCCGACTGTACTTATGAATGTCAATGCATAATATAGTTTCTACACATAGCATATTCATAATACTATGCACTAAACAATCTATACTTCTTACGTCATAATCTTCTATCTCCATTTGCGCGCACTCTGCGTAGAAGGCGGCGAGTTTAGCGTACGCCTTAGCGCGCGTGTAGAAGTGCAGCACGTGTCGCGTGAGGTCGGGCCGCGCGCGCCACGCCCCGCGCCGCCGCAGGAAGTCCGCCGCCATCAGCTGCGCCACGCGCTCGCGCGACGCCGCCGCGAACGTCGCGATGCGATCCGCATCACCCGACCGAAGCAACCAGCGCATCGCACCGGCCTTATAATTTATCAGTGCTAGAGCCCGCTTTAACATCTTCGCACGAATGGGCCGGCTCGCCCGGTGTAATACTACGACCGCACAGAAAACAGGCGTGAAGTGGAACCAATTCCGCTTTTCGTCTGATGGGTGTGGTGCCGGAGGCGTAGTTTTAGTCCGTTTTCCTTCCCATTCTTTCCTTTTAAGGAAAGGGGGGAAAGGAAAAGAGATTTGACGATGTAGGAGATGCATAGGAAGGGGAAATGTCTTCTTTATATGCGTCTCCTTCTCCGTCAATTAAGGCTAGGCAAGGCATCTGCAATTGCGGATGTTTATGGGCAGCGGTCGCTTTCTATTTCGCTTACTCGTTTTCCATATATTATATATTATATATATATTAACAGTGGTAGTGCCCGCTTTAACATCTTAGCACTGCAGGGCCGGCACGCCCGGTGTAATACCACGACCACACAGAAGACAGGCGTGAAATGGAAGCAATTCCGTGTTTCGTCTGATGTGAGTGTGGTGCCGGAGGCCTAATTTAAGTCCCTTTCCCTTTACCACCCTTTTCTTATAAAGAGAGGTTGGGAAGAGGAAGTGGATTTGACGGTGGAGGAGATGCATAGGAAGGGGAAATATCCTCTTTATGTGCGTCTCCTCCTCCGTCGGATAAGGGTAGGCAACGCATCTGCAATTGCGGATGTCTATGGGCAGCGGTCGCTTCGCCATTTTGGCGATTTCAGGTGGCCGCTTGCTCGTTTGCCACCTTATGTTATAAAAAAAAAATATATAAAAAAATAACAACCGTTGAAAGACAGAAGTTTTTTTTTATGTTTGTTAAGCTAGCGCTTGACCACGATATCACCGAAAATGATGATGCAGTCGTAAGATGGTACGCGCTAGTTTAATAAGTTGCTGTTTACTCTTCTTTTGAAGGCCCCCAGTTCTTCAATTTGCATACCTATCTTGTTTGTCTCCCACATAAGTTCTTATAGATTTCTTCTGCACTCTTAGATATATATATCGCTATTCTTAAGTTTGTCCACGACAAAATAAGAATAAAAATCCAATCTCGTCTTGTCATTAGCTGATGATCTAGAATAGGGGGGAGTGACAATGGGTGGGAGGAAGATAATAATGAAGTCGTAAAAATACTCCTACATTCCAAAGAATCTTTATCACCATATATGGTTGTTCTTTTACAAAAACAAACCAATGGGGTCTCTTGGGATTGTAGGAAACTTAGTAGGTATTAGGAATTTATATGATACTAATATTATAAATGCGAAAGTTTAGATGGATGTTTGTTAGAGTTTGTAGGTGTAATGCTATGTATACCTTGTCTCCGGCGTGTGCTAGTCGCTTAGCTGCCTGGTGGTAGAGTCCGCGGGCGCCGAGCACGTCCGCCAGCCGCCGCAGCAGCGCCGCGCGCCCCTCCGTGCCCGCCGGCGCCGCCAGCCGCGAGCTCAGCTCCTCCGACAGCGGCGCGCTCGATTCTTCCACTATGTCCAACGCTTCTTCATACTGTTACATAATATTATATTGTTAACTATTTCTTGCTTTTTTTGGCAGAATAAATGCCATAATTATTTCTAGAGTTAGTTTTCAATGGGAACAATCAAATCTTCTTATAATATTAGCATAGAAGTTCTTAACTCGTAACTGCCGTTTCTCATAATCAACAGATCGCCTAGGTAAACTTTTAGTGCATACTTTTTATAAAAGATAAATTCTAAGGGAATGCTTAACAATAATCGACTCTGAGTGCAGCCGTCAGCTACGTGTGACTTTATTACAGTATTTTTGATAATACTATTGATATACGACTTAGGGTCCTTCAAGAAGCGAGTCTACAATTTCCTCAACGACCGACAACGCATGTGTAGCTCCTCTGGTGTTGTGGATGTACATGGGCGTCGTTGACCACCTCTGTGTTCTCTGTTATAAAAAAAATCTTTGTATGACTCACGTTGCCAGCAGTGGCGAGCAAGGCGGCGGCGTGCGAGTGGTGTCCGGCGGCGCGCAGGTGCGCGGCGAGCGTCTGCGCCAGCGCCGCGTCCACGCGCTCGCCCAGCGTCTCCACCGCACTCACCAGCGCGCCGGTGTCGCCGCAGCTCAGCGCCAGCTTCAGCGCCATGTGCGGTTTGCCTATAAATAACCTAAATTAATGATATCGTAATACTAAATCGACACGGGCTCACTTAGAAGATATCACCACCACCAGCTCCTACGTCCCCACCAAGGAGCTCGGAGACTACCCTAAGTAAGAGGTGACTAGGCCATTGTCAACCACGCTGGTCCAGTGCAGTTTGGTTGACTTCACACATATCTTTGAGTTTATTCGCTGATATATGCAGGTTGCATTATGATGTTTTTCCTTTACCGTAAGAAAAAAAATTATGTATACATGAAAATTCAAAAAATCGAAAATCACATTGGTGCATGGCGGGATTCGAACCCTAGATTACAAGTCAAGTGCTTAAACCACTGAGACACCAACGCTCTGGAGATATATGTCTGGTTAATTGACAGTGACTGCCTCCGCGTAGAAGTCAATATTTAGGCTAACACTCGACAGTGCTTACCTGCTTTTTGATACAAGGCGATAGCTTGATCGTTTTGACCAGCGTTTTCTAGAATAGATGCGGCGTAGACGGCGTGCTTCGTAGACGCAGACCCCGCCCTGTACACCAAATTCCAAGCGTTCGCTTCCGCCGCCACTCGGATGGCCGATGATATCACTCCACATTTTATATACATCTATAACAAAATATAATTTAAAAAAAACTAGAAGGGATATATTTTAATTGTAGTTTTGTGATATAGCAAAATACCTTAACTGCGGCGTCAGGTTCTTTATTATTTATCTCTAAGTATCGCGCCATTTGATACAGCGAGGAAGAATTTTTCTGGCACAATTTTTCCGCTTCTTCAATTCTATCCATGTTGCAGAGTAATCTTGTTTGTTCTCCAAAGTCGTTGGCGCGGGCATAAGCTTCTAATGCCCCGTCCACATCACCAACACTCTCGAGGTAATGCCCCGACCATGTTATAAGTTTCGTATCATTAGAATTACGTACATATTGCTCGAGTACGGGCGCTTGTCCTTGCGCAATTAACATTCTAGGAACGTGAGGTACTAAAGTTCCGGCATTTTCAAACAATTTCAAAGCAGGTCCAGTTTCCCCGTTTGCCCATAAGACTTTGGCCAATTTATGCTGTGCGCTTTTCACAAGCAGCACATTCTCGCTTTCATTATCACCATTAATAATTTCATTAAGTCCGCCCTCTTTAGCAGACTTCAATCTTGTTATTAGATCTGGTCTCTGAGATTCTTTAAATAACTCTTCAGCTTCCTCTATCATTCCTAAATTCACAGCCAGTACTCCTACTTTACAGGTCTCGTCCATACTGTCGTCGTTCATTGCTTGCCGCAGCATCAATGCCCCTTTAATGTCGCCCATCTTACTCAAACAAATAGCTCCGACATCTGCACGTTTTCGCGAAACACAAACCTTGGCCAGGCTATCCCATATAAGAGCACTTTTATTACCGGTCGATATAGTCGTTCCGACAACAACCGCTTTCTCTAGATTCCCAGTTGTCATATAGTGAAGGAAATTTAGAACATTTCGATGTTTACTTTGATCCTGATCATCCTCGTCGAATCCTTGCATTAGAATTTTTTTAATACTCTGGTGTGTAAGAATAACAACAAATGGTGTATAGATAGTACAAAGTACGAAATCGGATAAATAATATTCTTCTGATGATGAACACCAATTCTTATATTCATAAAGTGTTCCTTCATGACAAAAGAACAAGTGAATACTATCAACGTCGGCTGACCTCATGTGAACACTGACAAGTCTCGGATCGTTATTATCCCACAATATAGTTATAGGAACGCATTGATATGGGGGAACTGAGTTCTTCGATACTAAAGTACTTGTAATTACATCATTAGCTACATCCCATAGATAGAGTCTGGGATCAGGTGCTAAACCGGAATTAGCGATACTGAGACAAATGTATTGTCCAGATGAATTCACAGAAGCTCTCATGATTTCACCAAAATCTTCCATCATTTGATAACAATTTTTTGGAGGGTAAGGCGTTCTCAGTCCTTTTTTCGTTATTTCGGCGAGTTTTAAAGTACCATCAATAGTTGAAATAACAATATACTTGTTCGTATTTGTGATTCCAATGGGCTCCCCTTCACTTTCAGAACTGGGCAAGATGCCCAACTTGTTTCCAATGAGATTGTAACACTCAACATGTGGATTGACAACACCAACAAGTATGTCATTGTACATTATAAGGACATCCGTTTTCCATGAAAATGTGCGTAAGAGGGAAAATTTTAAATCATTTTCTTTATTGGACATCCATATCTGTGAAACAAAATAAAATTTTTGGATTCAACATTTAAATGTTTTATGCATAAAGGATGTATTAAGAGTAAATCAATAAAAAAAATCCTACATAAAACATGTAATTGATACATTTAAATAATAATAAGATTTACCATGAGTTTCTTTTGCTTAAGTGAATTAAAACAAACTTACAAATTAATTTACCTGAACTTCATTTCCATCTCCTAAAGCTACATAATTTTCTTTAAATGCTAGAGCCTTGATAGTTATTGTTGAATTAATAGTTGATGTAGCGATATGTTTATCTGTGACAGCTATTTCATTAGCTGACTTTTGCACCATCTGAATATTATGTGAGAATCCCCAACACACATGTTGCTCACGGAGAATAAAGGCATTTGTTATGCAATTGACATGCAGCAATGGATTCATCAAACCTTCTGAACCCCAACTTACTTCTTTCACAGTTCCTTTCACTGATGTACTACTAATGAGTTTCCAAGTGTTTCTAGGATCTCGTCTCCAGAGATACAAGTAACCTTGGGATGTTCCACAACATAATGTATCACTCAAGTTACAATAACTAATACTTGTAAATACATCCCCTTGGACAGTATCTTCATTTTCATTTGGTAGTACATCATTGTCTCCATTTTCACTGTCCCAAATTCTTATTAAGTTATCTCCGGTTATAACAGCAACACAAAAGTTTCCTGCCAGGACTATGCATTGTCCATTTCTAGCTGTCATTCTAACATGTGTATCTGTGGTCAGGGAACCATCATTAGATGTAATGAATCTTGTTAAGCTCAGTGCTCCAGCTGACTCCCATGCAATGAGAAGATACATGCTACCAATAATGTCCATAAATACAACATTGCCCGGTGCATTAAGAACCTCTGAACAAGCACCAGCATGGTCAATATACAAAATAATACCATTGTCTTGAGCAGCATAACATGCATAATTATCTGGCTGGACTCCTTCCCTCACCCTAGCCGTGGTCCGGGGTCTCCAAGCAGCCAATGCATCTAATGCATTCTCATCTCCAGCAACCGCTGCTCTAGCTAGACCCCTAATAGATGATTCTGTGTTGGAATGGGGTGAACAAAATTGAATATGAGTTATGACATCCCCAAGTTGATGATGAAATGCAGTTAATGGGGCCCCAGACCCAGACTGCCATCCAGAGAGTGAACCTGCAGCATCAGATGCAATCAACCGTCCACCTCCAGGACTGAACTTCACTGTAGTTAGAGCAGTACTATGGGGCGCTTCTAGTCGAGCCCAAGAATATTCAAGCCATAAATATAATTCTCCACCATCCCAACCAACAACTAAAAGTTTCCTTATTGGGTGCCATGCTAATGCTGTAACTTGATTTGATAAAAGAGTTGGCCATTCGCAACCTTCTAAAGCATTTCCCTGTAAAAGAAACATAATAACACAGTTCTAGGAAGTATTGATTCCCCGTGAAATATGATAACAAAATTCAATGAAAAAGCATACATTTTCCTGAAATATAGTAACAAATCCACCTTTTTCTTGATTATATGAACCGACTGCTAAAAGAGGAAGGGAAGGGTGCCATGAACCGATTGTCGAAACAACGTTTCCGTCGATGAATTTTAACTTTGTATCGATGTACAAAGTCATATCTTCTTTAAGCAAAAACGATGAACGTTAACTGAAATAATATAATTATAACTTTTGTTGTTAAATTTCTTTAAAATTGGAATCATTAACATTACGTTCGCACAAAGGCATTGAAAGAAATAAGAAATGATTTTGTATTATTTTGAAAAATTTGTGTTTACGTCTCGACACCAAGTTGTTACTATGGTAACGATATCAAATCAAAGATTATAAATATGCTTAAGCGTGTTGCTGAATCACCAAAACAGATGTCATTTTTATTTGTTTTCTATAGTAGCTTTAAATTGAGTAATTCAAATAGCAGCAACTTATATATCTGCTGTTTAATTAGCGGATTTAATTATGCAATGGTCGAATATTTGCCTGAAACCGGAAATCTCAAATACAGACTGACATTCTTTCTCTTTACTTATTGCTTATTGTCAACTGCTGTCAACTTCAAACACTTAAAACTGTCAAATTCTCAACTTGTTATTCTAATTTTTAGGACGCTACGTTAACTTTACCGAATTTTAAAATTATTTTGATTTAGGGTATTTCATCGAAGTGAACACGCAAGTTTTGGATTACAAGTTTTAAATATTGGTTCTTTGCCAAATAATACGTCAACATAAAATGTGGTATTTAAGTTCTTCAAGTGACCCTAGAATAATTTACATTTTACCAGATAAGGAGATTGTTGTGGGCAGAAGTGTTGATACAGAATTTTGTAATTTCGCCATACCAGAAGATGCTTCTATTAGTAGGAAACATGCATCATTATCAGTTTCTGGGAACGACTTGTATTTGCAAGATTTAGGCTCTAAATATGGCACTTTCATTAATAACTTCACAGAAATGTTGGAGAGTGGAACAAAACAAAAAGTAAACATTGGGGATAATATTAAATTTGGCAAGTTGAATAGTGAGTGGGAAACACATTTTATAAATTTGACAGCATGTGCATCAACTTTGAAAGGGGAAAGTCTTCTAAAATTAAAAGAGAATTTACACAGGTTGGGAGGTACATTTAAGAATGATTGGGACAGTTCTTGTGGATATTTAACTATGCCTGCTATCACTTTAACCATAAAAGTAGTCCTTGCTTTAGTACAAGGAGCACACATTGTTACTATTGAATTTTGGAATGAATGTGTTGAAGCAACCTCTAAATTTAGTAAATTACCTGACCCAAAAAATTATATGCCACAAATTATTGAATCTACACTTAATAAAGAAAAAGTATCATTTTTTCCTGATGAGAAGAGAAAAAGTTTGTTTGCTGGTAAAACATTTATTTTCTTCTCAAGGAGACAACTTGAAATGTATAAAAATGTTCTTGTAAGTAGTTCTGCATCTGCACTGTTATTAAGTGAAACAAAATTAACAAAGTCAATGCTTTGTGAAGAAAACAAAATTGTGATACAATATAACCTAATATCTACAAGTCAAGAAACACAAGTTCAGCGAAATCAAATTAATGAGCTAGTAAACTATTTAAAAAGTAAAGGTAAAAGAGTTGTAGCAGATGCTGAGATAGGTTTGGCAATTTTATATTGCTCTTCAAGTAAATATTGTAACCCAGACTTTAATTTCCCAATTGAAGTAATTAAGCAGAACTCTAGTGAGAATGCTAAACCAGCAAATATCCTTGCTCATGAATCAGAAGAGCCTCTACCATCTGTTTGCAAACAAGAAAATGTTGTAATTGATGAAAGTTTAACTTCTAATATAGATTCCATAAGTAATAATGCCAGCAATCCCAAAAGAAAAAGAGATGAACAGGACATGGAAATAGTAAATCCTTATAAGAAAGTTGCAATTGGTAAAGAGACAGAACATAATGAATCATCTAATTCAACAAAAAGATCATATGAAAATAGTGAAGGTGACACAAATCCAGTGAAGAAAATAGCTTTAGAAACTATTAATGAAGACAATGAATTTTTCAATTTCACTGCATCAACATCTAGAAGTGAGTGTAGTGAAAGTAAAAAATTAAATTTAGTAAAGCCAGTGAAGAGGAAACAAGATTTTGTGAATGATGAAGATGACAATTTATTTAACTTTATTGAAGACAATCCTAAACCTACAAAAATTTTGAGAGACACACTGGAATCTGATAAGACTAGTTGGAATAAACACAATATTTTAAATGACGAAAATAATAGTAACCCTGTTTGTGATAAATTCGAAATATCTGCTTTAAGAGGTATTAAACTAGATGAGTTAATGCAGAGCAATTTGAAATTGGAATATAAACCAAAGGTAAAGTCCGAAGATGTCACAGGTTTAGATGAAAAGCTAAATGACCTTGATTTAGGATCAACTACAATTATTTTGAGATCAGACTTAATTGTGAAGAAAGAACCGGTGCAACTGAATTCTGATGAGATCAAAGTAAAAAATTTCAAGAAGTTTAAAAAGGTGTGGCCAATTAAGATGCAAATTAGTATAATGTCAAAATCATCTGCAACATCTATTGATGGATCTGATAATACTAATTTATTAAGCAACACTGCTCTGTAACAAGTGAAAGATGTTTCGAAGTACATATTATGATTGTAATATAAAAATATATAATGTTAAAATGTTTATTTTTATTATAACAATAAAATTGTGTAATGTAAGAGGAAGGTTTTTATTTCTATGACATTTACATTTAATCTTCTTCACTTATATCAGCTTCAGAATTATCTTCTTCTGTCTCCTTTTCATCTTCCATTTTGTCATTATCTTCAATGTTACTTTCATCATCCTTTGTTCTAAAAATAATAATAATGGTTATCCAATTAACCCCTAAATGTGTGATTTTTCAGAACTTATTGATGATGTAAAATATTTAATACAAAATCTGTATTATAATAAAGAATAAAAAAAAAATCTACCATCCAAATTTATGTATTTTGTTATTTTTACAGTAGGCTTTGTCATGAAGTGACTATACCGCCCCATAAGTCTAAACTAACAAAACTCAATTCTCTAACTTGTTTCTTAAACAAATGTCGGCTAACTTAAACATCATCCTGGCCTTGTCCATAGATGGATGAGTCAGGATAGTGTTTAAGTGACCGGACATCATACTAATACTAATATTATAAATGCGAAGGTTTAGATGGATGGATGGATGTTTGTTAGAGTTTGTAGCCTAAACAGCTGAATGGATTAAGTTGAAATTTGGCATGTGTTCTTCCAGACTATCCTCCACATATATACCACATTTCATAGAAATCCGTTCCATCATTTAGGCTACAAACTCTAACAAACATCCATCCATCCATCTAAACTTTCACATTTATAATATTAGTATCGTTATATTAGTATGATTTGCTTATAATAAAAGTGATGACAACATTGGTAAGACTTTTAACTCTGAGCATTCTTGAACAATATTTATTTTAACTTACCGGTCACCTTTCTTAGGTCTCTTTAAGTGCACCGTACCATCAGGTTCCACTCTGACTGTGCTGCCAGGAATTGTACTTAGTTCATCTTCCACAGTAGTAAAGTGCTTGGGTTTCTTATGTGCTAACTTAGGAAGTCCTACAGTGTTTATTGATCCTATAACATTAGAAAGGGGAATCATTTAATAGTCTTATAAAAAGTAGTTCTTGAAACAACTTAATGTAATTATAACAATTAAAAGTTATTTTAGAAACTGCATATATTGTGAGGAGGTTCCTATCTGCAGCCCTGACCACTGGTTGCTTGAGTCATCAGATTCAGCAGCCGGTGGTGCTCTATTCTTTATATAATATGTTTTATTTTATCTTTTATACAAAGTATGTGAAATGTATTATATACAAAATAAATAATAAAGATATATGAGAAAAACTAAAAGTATCTTGGTAACTAGAAATAGTAATAAAACACTTACTCAATGTAAGATATAAAGGCAATGAGAGTGATAATGGCAGTTTTATAGATATAGATCTAATGTTGGCTTCTCCACCTGGATATCTGTCTTTCAACTGACTGATTAATGACAGAATATTCTCTTTCAAATCATTTTGTGGCATGCTTGTATGACCAATTAAAATTGTTGAAGTGTGGCCTTCATTTAAACGAAGCATCGATGTTCTCAATCCAATGCTAATATCTTTCTTGATATTTCCTTTTTCATTCAATTTTACTGGTATCAACATGTTATGCTTTTTGAAAAACATTTTCCCCAACAAATGGGAAGCATGGTTCAACACTCTAGTGTCAATCATAATGAAGTCATGTTGTGTTAACAGTCTCCGTTTTAATTCAAATTGGTCATATTCCACTTTCAATTGCCTTAAAGGCAATACTGTTTTAATCTATAAACAAATAAAATTAACTGTTATATTTTCATACAAAAATAATGACACAGGATCATAATAACAATGCCACAAAAATACCTCAGTTACCCCTGCTTCCTGTAAAATATCTTTCCAATGGTCAATTGTAGGTTCATGATCGACTTTTTTTCCTTTCTTCAAATCGGGTGTTATAAGGCAAATTTCTCCAGTAGTTGCAGCAGTACAGTGTGGCAGCACACTGCAAAAATTAAATTATAACATTAGTGTTACGAGCACAACTTTTAGCAGGGATATTGAATTAATAATCAACTTACAACTTCACATTTCCCCTAGTGTGAGGTATTTTGATACATCTTATTTCTGCAAAAACAGATGTTTCACAACCGAAAATCGTATTTTTCTTGTTATGATGAGCGGTTAGTTTTTGTAAAGCATTGAGACACGAGTTTACAATATCTTCCTTTACGGCTTTCGATGGCATCACATATTTAACTTTCTTAGCAATTATCACTTCATTCGTGTCTTCAGGTAACTTCTCTACGCCGGCACTCTCTGAAATCTTCTTAACTTTCTTTACATTTACTGTTTCTTTTGCGTCTTTATGTAAACTCACACTCTCCTTTATTTTGGTTCCTTTCTTAACATTCACCTTTTCTTTAGTTTCTTTATGTGGTTTATTCCCATTTACATTTTCAGAAATATTTCCTTTCTTTGTTTTAACAATTTCTTTGAAATCTTTATGTAGTTTCTCTACATTTACATTTTTCAAGACATTGGTAATTTTCTTTTTAGAAGTAACATTGCTTATCTTTTTTTTGGGTTTTAGTTTTATACCTCTTTCCTTATTTTTTTGTAAATTAGGTTTGACGGACACCATGGTTTTAAGAAGGAATTTTAATTAATAACAGATATCACTTGTTTACTTGTTAGCTTTTAAATATTTAAGGTTAATTAAAGTAAGGTTAAAGCATGACACATGACATTCATCGAAATGACAGAAACAACATGTGCTCGATCGGCGTAGGGATTGCAGATTGCCAAATCAAAATAAAATCGGTTTATTGAAATTAAAAAACAAAGTATAAATTATTTTAACTCATCTTTCAATAAACATGTTGTTAATATCATTTTTTTCCAATTTTCATCCACTGTCATAAGACGTGTTTAAAAGGAAAAAATAGAACAAAATTTAAAAAAAGTAGTTATTCAGCAGGAATAAAGCTTGTTAAAATTGTGCACAAAAGTAAAACTTCAACAAGTAAAGCAAGATTTTTTAAAAGAAACTTCATGCGTTAAGGGCCAAGCATAGTAATATCACAGTTAACCGTAGCAATTTGGTAGTAATTACAAAAGGTGTGATATTGCTTTAGATTTTGGCATAGGTCCAGCCGCCTCTCGTCGGTTTCAAAAGTGGAATGAGGCACCGTAGAGCGATCAAAAGGTTAATTGTTTCTAATAAATAACTGATGAGTTATGATCTAAAAGATTTTCTAAAAAGTAGAATGAAACAGTTAACATGCAATCTAGTCCAGATAACTGTTAAATATGATGTGCTCTAATTGTTATTGTTCCGAGCCTGGACTGGGAGTAAGCGGTTAGCGGCCTGATCTGGTTAAAATGATAGGAATAAAGTATAGTAATGCTTAAAGTAACAGTTCGAAAATAAAATTAGCCGAATAAAAATATAAATACATATGGTACTATAAATATGTTTTGATTTTAAACGTCACAGTGAAAATTTTGTTTGAAATAATCACGTAATATAAAATCAGAGGTGCAGGTAGCAACAATTTATCGTCGGCTTCTTACAAACTATATTTTATTCAACAGATTACACGGCCTCTGTATTGCTCGGTAGTACAAGAACAAAATATATTATTAAAGACGCGGTAATCATTCTTTGCCGGTAACTTACGTGGGAATTAACCCGACAAACTTACACCTACTGTGTGAAATGTTTTATGCATATTATTTCTTAATGGTTCTTAAATTCAACTATAGGGCTTTCTCTATATCAACTAAGTACTCACATTACATTTATTGATACAGTTGTGTCGATAGCAATAATTATATACTTCGCTTTATTTGTCAGTTGGTAATACCATCCACCATCTATTTTTGGTCTAAAATGTTGGAAATAAACATATATTTTCAGCATTAAATAAAGCCACAAATTCTCAAACCGAGTGGCGGACGCCTGTTACTTTATTTAATTTACCGTTTGCAAACGAAAGCGGTAAAAAACTAAACGAATTGCGCTACTTCGATGCAGCCTCCAAGCCGGGCAATCTTCTAAATAATTATATTATTTGCTTTGTATCTTAAAGCGTTGCTGTAAAAACAATTTGATTTTTAGGTTAATCTTTTTCATACTCTCTCAATATTAGCGTTTTGGACTATGATTATTCTATATTTCGTTATCCTAAAATCGTTTCTGTATTTTAGGTAAATGTTTACCAACCTTTTATATTAAAGTTTTTTAATGTGATTTATTTAATTTTACTTCAGTATTTCCACAATATTTCATTCTGGTATGTTATTGCAATCTTTTTCATAGTTAACAATTACGTATGTATGTTTATATTTCATGTTTAATTTTACATTTTTGCTACCTCGTCGAATCGGATTATTAACGCAGCGGATAAAATGTGCGCGCTACGCTCCAATGAGTGCAGTTTAATTATTCTGTTTGTCGTCTCACCCTGTCTGTTTCCATAAATCTTCATTATAATCTGCATTATGACTCATATAATTGCGGCTTTCATTTTATTTGAGGTCAAATTTTTGTAATCCTGTAGATTGTAGGTATGGAGGTCAGCTGGTTTAGCAATTCATGTTTCTACGAATTATCCGAATTACCGAAGTATGCGCTGCCCATAGACATCCACAATTGCAGATGTATTGCCTACCTATTTAGTAATGGACTATTTTAATTTTGCAAAGATAAAAATGCGTGGACAACTGGATCGCTTTGGTATTACCAGTCAATCATGTTGTTTTTGTATACTTTTAAACGTTGCCCTACATTAATTACACCAAGTAAGTGAAAAAGATTCAGTATAAAATGTAATGAAAAACGATTTTATGAATCGTAATTTGTAACAACACAAAGTTGAGTGCAAACTCAAAGTGCGATGTAAAACCAAGCAGCTATCGGGTTCATAAAGTTTTCAACGATCCCATGTTAAATAAATGTATAAGAAAGTTTACACACAGTAACAGGGCTTAGACGGATTTCGTTTGTGATTCTCTGAAAAGTTGTAACACTAAAACCATTTTAGCCAACGGGGACTCTCGTATTTTGTTTTATGTCGCCTAGAGGATACACCTGTCTGTGAAATATGTATACCAGAGGAGTCGTGGTCGAATATTGAACTACATTTTATGCACAATACGTACTCCGTACTTGCAAGTTTACGATTCAATTTGATTTTAATAATAAAAGAACTATCAATATACATTGCCTATCAGATAAAAAGTTTTGTTCGGATCACATTACGTAAATCAGTGTAACATTGTAATATGAAATGCAGCGTATCTTTACACCTGACCTGGCACAGTTCAGTGAAAACTTCACAAGTCGTTTGACAGCACAACATGAATAAAACAGACAAGGTGAGAGGAGAGGTATATATTCTTTTATCTGCGTACTAAGAATGCATATTTGCTTGTAATATCTCAACATTAATTTAACCTAAATATTAAATAGGTTGACTTTAAGATCAATTATAGTCATACAATCGTATTGACAGCAATTTGCTTCATTTAAATAAGATTGTGCCGTTTCCAATGAGATTTATTTCAAGCGAGCTACAAGATATAACAATGTCGTTTCATCTGAAGGAACAAATAAATCTCCGGTAGCCACGTTACGACGTTTTGCGCCGTAATCCAAACAATGGTCCTCATGCAAAATGCAAAGGTTAACCCGACCGCCTCGAATTACCTACTCGAAGAACGGAACTGCGGTCTCCTCTAGTCACTAAGTAAACGTTCTAACTTACGAATATTCAACACAATTTTTACTACAATACCGAGTAATCAAATGGTAATTCCTAATCTATATTCAGATCGAATCATCAAGTGATTGCGTCTTGACAAAAAACTTAGTAACTAGTTAACGTATTTTCACTTACCTAACAATACTGTATAGTTACTAATTAGTTTATATTAAGACATACAAATCCACATTAATTATTAAAAAATCTAGTACAACCAACTACTTAGCACTTAAAACTTTCTTTCAGGTATTTTTATACAAATTGCAGAAGCAGCAACGACGCCGAAGGATTCAGTTGTTTAAATATTTACATTCCAACAATAAGAGAAAAACAAGGCTACGCCGGGTTCTCGACGCTGAGAAATGTGTACGTCTTAAGGTAATGAGAAGTACCATGTTCTATTATACTTTTTGTTTGCACAACAGAGAAATGTCAATATCGCGTGCCTTCATAGATTACCTTTTCCTGACATAATGAAGGGAAGGGAACAATAGATGTATTCACTGACCCAGAAGGCTTGCTTTATTGCTTTGATGGAATATTTAACAAGTATATGAGAATTGTTATACATTAGTTGCTTCTTTGTCTAATCACTCACCGCGCAGATAACCCTGTGGTAGATCCGAATTTGAACCTTGCCTTCCAGAGGGCAGGGTAGCCTTGGAAAAAAAATCCGAATTTAAATAATACAATAATCACAGAAGTATAATTTTTTACCAATATTCAATAGTGCATTACATTTTTATTAATAACGATAAAATATTAAACAAAAAAATAAGCATAAGAGAACCTTTCAACAAAAAAACAGCTTATAAGTGTAGGCAGTACTTGATGTCTTGTTCCATTTTACCATTTCACTAACATCATCCCGAGTAAATATTTGTCGTATTTATGTAGCGTTAATTCGATGTCAGTACGCTTTTCTGAAGGGACCCGACGTACAAAGGGTCAACAAGAAGTGCTGCGGTATTTTACCTCTTAAGCTTCTTTGTAAGTGTCACAATGTATTTAGAATACAAACGTGAAGTACTGTTTTCTAACATTGTATATTGTTTCTGTGTTTGTAAATAGAATAACAATTTTCTAAAAAACTAAAACAATCAGAAGTGCCTCATTTTAAAAGATTTATGCGTTGTTTTAACGATAAAAACTGTTTATATAGTACCGAAAAAGTAACAGTAAATTATATCACTGAGAAAACGGTACATTAATTGAAACTGAGGACAAACTTTTCAAATAAAAGGTCAGGGTATATTTATTTTGTTGGCAATGTGCCGAATAAAAACTCCTGTCACGTAGTTCTCGTAGTAAGTAGTTAGTGACTACGTTGCAACGTTAATGAGAAGGCTCGTTGACTCACGACGTCTTCATAACTGTTTAAACAAAACGCTTACGCCCTCGACGCTCCATTTGGATGTTTCTCAGTTATTAGATGCGCATATTTTTTCTACTTAAATTGCTATAATAATGAAACTCGTATTTTTATGTAGATTGAAATGCGTCGGTGTTGAAATGCGTTGGTGTCATTAAGGTCAAATGTACAATTTCTCATCAATTTTACTTAACTTGATGTTAACAAATGGAGCTTGAATTTCTTCACAAATTACGTGAATCATCACAGTTGACTTTCGTATAGAAAGGTCAAATAAGGAAGTGGAATATATATGTTATGAGATCACAGCTATCCCGGTTACTTTACTCACTGTTACTCCTGGAAGCATGGAATAATATCATCATCATCATCATCCCCACTGAGGAGCTCGGAGGATATCCTAAATATGCAGTGACTAGACCATAGTTAACCACGCTGGCCCACTGCGGGTTGCTTGGCGGGAATATATATCGCATAAAATGATATATGTTTAAGTAACCGTAAGTTTTTTACATAATTTGCTGTCACATTTTTAACGTCGTTGTATTTTTTTTTATCTATATATTTAGAATTGTCTTAAGGTCAGTTTAAAATACCCTGTTAAATATTTTCGCGCTGG